TGATCCTTCGCCTGCTGTCGTGGGAGCAGGGCAAGCGTTCCCGCAGCACGTTCCATTCCTGCTGTCTTTGGCCTCTCAGCTTCACTCACTGGGAGTAGGTGCTATTCAGTACAACTGGCCAGGGATGTGTCCTTTTGGAGCAATGGCTGATCCTGGACCTGTTCCTATGAAGCCTTTGAAACTACTGAGCTGTTTCAGATAGTGGGGTTAGAGCAATTTGTAGAATTGGGGTCCAGGTACTGTTTGCCAGTTCATGTTTCTAGTGATTTGTGAAATTAGAGCTCTTGTGGAAATCTGGAACCTTGCTTCTGAGGAAAGTGTTGTGTATGAACGGAGTCCAAAGCCCCCAGTCTTCAACAGATATATGAAGAATGGCAAGGATTCCAGTGGGTCACCAACAGTGTTTATTAGAGACTAATAATAACAGTGAACAGACTCTTCCATTCCCAGTTCTCTAGGGTTTTAGAAATCCAGCAGAACCAGCAAAATACCTAAAGCCCAGCCACTGAAACCCAGCCAAGTTTTGTAAAAATTACAATGGTTACTTCAAATAAATATAAATTGTCCTTTTTAAATCTACAGTTTATTTAAAAACAGTAATTTTGCCAAACCATAAATGTCCCCAGTAACTAAACCAAGAAATAACCAAGGTTAAGAAACCTAAGATTATAAGGTTTAGGAAAAACCTTTTTGATATATTTAGTGCTTTTGTTTAACCATGTGATTTACATTTAATCCTAGTTAGAGTAACTAATACATACATATCTTTATAGCAGACCAAACACTTCTCATAAGCAACTGACTGGTTTGTGTTACCACATTTGTTCAATGAGGGTGGAGGGAGAGAGGTGTACAATATAACTCACTTGCATAATCTTTTGCAACTAGTAGAAAAAATATGTCTCACAATATAGCTACAAGAAATACATGGGTGCTCATAATTCATATTATCCCATAAAATTTAGAAGAGCATTCAGAGACTGCAAATGAAGGTAATTTATGTGTAAAACCTCATCCATGAAGAATTTATTGCCATAGTAGGTATAATATACTTTGGCACAGACTTCTTCCGTGAAACTAGTACTTGCACATTTGAGAAAGGAACATACCAGAGACCTTGCAGGTTAAACTGTAGTCTGGTTTTATAAAAAACACATTATAATGAAGACTTTTCTCTGCTGAGAGAGCTGAAGTCAGTTGGTGAGTTAATATGCCACGGCTGTTGATGATGTGTTTGAACATCTTCACTGTGCAAGTAATCTCTTTAAAATCAGTGTTAGTTTAGTGGTGCTACCTTTGTGTAAATAGTATTGTTTGTAAATATTTTGAACCTTAGAGGGAACTGAGGAAACTGCAGAAGTGCATTCCTACGAAACATTTTAATTTGCAGTATCTGAAAATGAGTATATGCTTTGCAGAGGTTGTTTGTGAAGCCCAGACCTCATTCTTCTTGTGAGGACTGCACTGGGACATGGGTCATCTTTCTCTCTGCTCTTGAGCAGAACTGCCAGCTGAAGGCCTTGGGATGCATCCATGTCATTGCCAGTTTGGGAATGCTCTCTGCTCTTGAGCAGAACTGCCAGCTGAAGGCCCTGGGATGCATCCATGTCATTGCCAGTTTGGGAATGCTCTCTGCTCTTGAGCAGAACTGCCAGCTGAAGCCCTGGGATGCATCCATGTCATTGCCAGTTTGGGAATGCTCTCTGCTCTTGAGCAGAACTGCCAGCTGAAGGCCTTGGGATCCATCCATGTCATTGCCAGTTTGGGAATGCTCTCTGCTCTTGAGCAGAACTGCCAGCTGAAGGCCCTGGGATCCATCCATGTCATTGCCAGTGTGACTCGGGCATGTGGCGGCCGAAGCGAGGCCAGGCAGGGTTGTGGTGGCGTTGCAGGGCTGTCATGCACAGTCTCAGGGAGATGTCAGCGCTGCTCTTCTCAGTGCTTGGGTGGCTCCTGCAGCTGGAACAAAGATATATTTCCTTTTGTTCCTGCTGCTGGACTCTGATTTCTGTTTTCTTTTGAGATTACATTGTGCACAAATGCACATATGCCTTTATAGCTGCTGCCTCTCTTTGACCCAAACACTTCCATGGAAGTTAATGACATTAAGTGAAAATCAATGCAACCCATTGCCACTCCAAGATTTCTGCTTAATACAAAGTAAACAGAATAGAGAAGGATTTGTTATACCGTAGAATATACCATTTAAATGGATGTAGCTGGGAATGGAGAGAAGCAGCTCCTAGCATGATATATAAGAGGGATTTTGGCCCACGTCAGCAATGGAAGCTACAGGGCATATAGCTATAAAAATGGACCAGAGTTCTCAAGCATTTATGTAGAGCAGATAAGACCTTTAAAATTCTTCCCTGAAAGGTACACAGTGGTGCTGGGCAGCAGTCTGCTAGGCTTGGGTTGTCAAAGAACGTTATCAATTCCTCTGGGATTTTAACTGTTAATTCCAGGAAGTCTAGGTGTTTCAGGAAGTGCTATTCAAACATTATGCTATTTCTTCCGGATGTAGCTCCTTGGACAGTACACTTACACTTAGCCTTTTCTCTGTTGGCTTGCTCTGCAGGAGAAATCCCAAACTATTGAGAACAAAGATAACTTCCTGTGCCAGGTGTATTAGCTGGAATTATCTCTGTTGTACAGAGTAATAACTTGTCTCTTGAAAGTGACATGGGATTTTTGACGCCAGTCAAGATTTATCTCATCAGGGATGTCACTGTGCTACTAAGAAAATCTCATTGGCCTCATAATCAGAAGTACTGTGTTCAGTTCTCTGCTTTTCCAGTGGATTTAGTGGAGTTACAGATGGTGCAGAAAATGGTAACTGAAACAATTTGGGGAACTGGAACTGTCATATGAGGAAACATGGAAAAGTCTGGTACTCTTCAGTTTAGAGAAAGACAGATATTTACTGTTGAGATTTACAAAATCATGAAAGTAATGAAAAAGCTGGATGTGAAACTACTGCCCTCCAAATCCTGCAATGTAAGAGCTAGAGGGCAATCAGTGAAGGTAGGAGATCAGGTTTAAAACAAAGAAAAGAAGGTAGTCCTTCAGTTTTTGGAACTCCAGGTAGTGAATTTTTTTGCCATGGTAGGTAGCAAAGGCTGGGATATCAGCAGGTTCAAAAGAGGTCAGATAATTTCATAGATAAAAACAGAACTGCAAATGGACAGTGAAGTTGTGTGCCTGTAACATCATTGTGCATGGGGGAGGGAGGGGCATGGGGGGCAGGAGGAATGGACCCCAAGAGCATCCAGGCTTCTGTCTTTTCCCTAAGCACTATCTCTAAATAGCATGGCACTGCTGGAAGTCAGGTACTAGGCCAGATGGGACCAGTCATCTGACCTTGCTGGGCATTTTTTTCTGCCATACAGTACCACACTATGTTCTGCTTTGAAAGGGTTTTATTGTTAGTGCATTGAATTTCTATAAGAATAATCAAGAAAAAAATGGTAGCATGTTAATACTCCATTGTTGATACCTGAAATATTAAATGTGTTTTTAAGTCTGATCCATTGATAGTCAAATGCCTGCCTGTTACTGTGCATGTCACTAACATGGCATTTGTTTGGAAAATGTACAACTTGGAGAATGAATTTTAAGTTTGTGTGTTTATTTTTCTTGGCAGTGAGTTTTGGTTATCTCAGAAGGGAAAAGCTATCCAGGTGCAGTGAAGCTGTGTGGTGCCATGAGTGCTCTGGCAGGAAGGTATGCAGGGAGCTGCATCTGAGTAGTTTCTTCATGCTCCAGTACTGTGTGCTACTGAGATGTCTTTGTGCTGGTTCCTGGTGGGCCAGGTTGAACCAATGAATCAACAGGGACTTAGGGCCAACCACATCCACAGATCAGAGACCCAGAATCTGGGGCATGGTCCCTGTCCCAGGCACTGGGCTTTAATGACACTCAGAGCTGGGATGGCATCCCTGCACTTTTGAGCATCCTCCCCAAGCACCCAGTTCTGTGCCTGCCCAACTCCCCCACAGGCTTCAGGCTACCGCTTCTTGCATAGCAGCTCACTCTTATTTCATCTGTAGCATTTGGAGGAGACCTGCAAAGTAAAAATCGGAAATCGCTATTTCACTTTAATATAGGACACAGAAAAGGTCTTTAATATGTGTTTGGCTGGAGGTTTTTTCTAAAAGATATCTGTGAAAAGTCTTCTGTATGCTTTTTTTTTTTTTTCCTGGTAACATTAAGCATATTAACAAAAACATTCTTTGCTTTAATCAGACAATATGGGCTTTGTTTGCATGGAGACTTTTGAATACTATGTGTAGCTCCTGTAGTCTGGGCACAAGCTTTTAGCAGGGATGCTTGCATGAGCCATAAACTGGGTGCAGCTCAGGTCGGCTCATTGTGCCTGTGGAAACTGGTGGTACTCTGCTGCTGCTGAGAAATCCACCATAAACAAATCCTCACTCCTGGTCTCAGGTGTGTAATTGGGAAACATGTTTGGCTTTTGATCAAAAGAAATGGAGTGTTTGGTTCTTAGGAATATATTTTCTCTTGTTTCAATGAAGTAAATGTTAATGCAAATAAAGAGCTTAAAGCAGTCTGACTAAAGCCTCAGCTAATTGAGCTTTGGTTCTGTGAGAATTTGGATGTCATCATCCTTTTGTTTTCCACTTCTCTGGGGAAGTACTTCAGCTATATGGCAAAAATAAACAAAAGAAACCTTTTAAATCTTCACACTTAAATACATTTATGAATATTTTTAGTTACTGTTTACTCCTTGCAAATTTATCTTGGTCTGAAAAAAGTTTCAGATGTATTGTTTTCCTAACAAAGATTTGACCTTCATCTTTATACACGGTTTCACTATTCTTCCTATCAGTGTTTAGTTCAAAGGAGCACTTCGAAGCACGCAGGCAAAAAGCAGTTCCATTGTGTAAAATAGAAATGTGTGTTTTATATCACAGGAGTTTAGAGAACAATGCAAAGGTCAATTGTGTTGCTTGCTCTCCTGTCACATGATGTGGGTGTGTATATGAATGCATCCCTGGAATTCCACTGTGGGATCTGCATCTTTGAAGCTGATGCTAAAATTACTGCGGAGGCTCTTCCAAAGGCGGATACTGATAGAAGATTCAATGAAATCGAAGGTCGCCAGTCTGGTAGGCGTTGAAAGATACCTGGCTATGATACTATTTCTGATTTAATAATGCGAATGGGAGGCTAGCCCTTTGTAATAATTAGGACTAATTACTGAAGAGGTGTTGACAGATGGGCTAAGAGGAAACAAACTGCCTTTATCCAGTGGCTTAGAGTCAGATTACTAGTCTTGTGTTATCTGTTTCTCAGAAAGTAGAAGCTTCAATCATTCACTAAGTCTTCAAAGGGGAAAGGGATCCTAACAATATACAGGATTTGGGATGAAGCTATGAAATAAGTCTTTGACTCAAAATGGCTAAATTAATCTCCTTTCCGTGAATTATCATACTTTTAAAGTTTGAGTTACAGATGGAGAATCTGATTGTAGTACTGAAAAATATGCAAAATCAGTATTGATGACTGTCCTGTTGCTGCTTCTGCTCATAGATTAGTCCAAGATTGGTTCCTTGCTCTTAATTATATTAATATGAATTCTTTGATTCCTTCTTATGCCATGCTTGCTATCCAGCTGAAACTGAGACAAGGGAAAGTAGTAAGTACTCTCTCATTCAGTGTTTGGTTATGCAGATGTCATATCTGATCAACAAGCAGAAAATACATCTGCTGAAGTTAATTACAGTTATTTACCTTTTTAGGAGACAAGATCATGCATATTCTAGGAAGAAAACAATATATTACAATAAAATTGCATTTACTGAGAATTATGGATTTTCTTAAAGAGGATTTCTTCTCTCCTTTTGAATGTAGTGTCCATCCAGCACATCTGCATGAAGTAGATAAAATTGTCCAATGTGAATGGGGTTAACAAAGACATTCAGGGATTAATGCTTTGTCACCAGAATGAGCACTCAGTGTGACTTTCTTCAGGCAAATGATTTAAAAGTCTAGCCACCCTCCATTTTCTCAAATGTCTTTTAAGTGCTTTTCTTCCCACTCTCCACCATATATAGAACCTGGTTTTCTTAGAAATGTGATAAATGTGGTTGCATTCGATAGCACTTATAAGCAGAGGTAGCTTTCAATTATTTATTTACTTTCAACAAAAGGAGCCATTTAATTAATGTTTAAATATTTATAACAGTTTTATTGTGCTGTAAAATCGGTTATACTTTGATCTAGATTTTCTGGTTTGAGATAATAGGGTTGGTAAAAGTTTTCCTAATGAATTTGGTCAGAACATGACATAATCTGATTATCTGACGAAAGATTGACACTTCAGTTCCTGCCCGCATAAAAGCGCGGTACAATGGGGGCTGTTCAGCACAAATTCAAAGGCTGGGAGTTCAAGTTCAGGTACGGCAGAATTGTTCAAAGTTTCAAATTAATGTGGTGAAACAGTGTTGCATTTTTCACTGTATTTTTGGTCAGGAGTAATTTATGGTGGATGAGAGTAGTGAAGCTTGAAGTTAAATGTGTAAACTTCAATTCCACTCTGTGACTTTGGGTTAATTTCTCTCCATTTGCTAAATAGTAGTTAGTGTTACTTGTTAGAACATAGAGAAACTAACTGGTAAGAACATCACAGACACAGGAAACAGTACCAGAAACTGGGAATTAAGCATCATCAGTATTCAACCTGTTAAATATGGAACCAGTTTTTTATCAATATCCCTCACATTTTAACAGTTTAACTGTTTAACATATGAGCAAATGCTCGTATGCTTGGAGATGAGCATATTTAACTAATGCATCCTACATGCTTGTGTAAAATAGATGTAGATTTATGTGATCAAACTGGCATGAAAGAACAATTATGTCTAAAGTGTAAGCTTAGCCTAAACTGTTAAATTAAACATAATTTTTTTTTCATTTGATATTCAGATAATATTTGCTTTGTAAATGTTGTTCCTGTTTGCAGTGGAATTACAGTGATCCCTACTAGAGTTCTTGGACTCAGTTGCAGTCCAGTAACTTGGCTTATCCAAATACTTAGGCTGTATGGAATAGGAATCCTAGTAGACAGGTGATACATACTATTAGTATGTACATACTAATGATACATACTATTAGTAATTAAGCTTGAATTTTGGAGGATATTTCATAACATAAAAATACTTAATAATCTTCTATTTTGACTCATATATTTAAAAGTGGTGTACACCATACTAAGTCATTTCTTTCTTTTCTATGCTGAAGGGGTTCTTGGAGAAAGTAAAGTGTTAAGTACCAAATGTGATGGTCTTTACTGAAATGCAGTTTGTTTCTGACCTTGAGAAGATTTTTTCTGACCTGAATAAGGATTTAAAGCTCTAATCTAATGAACTGATACAGACTGTCCACTTGCCGTGAATCTCGGTGTCCCTGGGAAGGGACCGTCTGGCCTGGGGTCAGTGAGTGGAGCTCTAATCCCAGTTCTAGGGACTGTGGCACCTCGGGGGTCACTCACTGTCCCTGCCACAGCTTCCATCTCAGACAAGGACGTGGAATAGCACTGCTCTTGGAGATGTGCTGTACTTTACACAGAAAGAGAAAGCTCCCAAGGAGAAAATGCTTTATGGAATACTGGGGTAATGAACAGACCCTGCAAACCCTCCCTTGTCTGAGCAGTCTCACCAATATCATCTGGTAGTTTGGACAGGCATAGATCAGATCCAAAATTTGGATTTCAAAATACAAGCTGGTCACAAATAGAAATTGCCCTTGGTATTTTAATATTTCTTCTGTATTTATGTCAATTTATCTTGTTTGCTATTTGCAGTTTTAAAATATATTTTTAACTGTTATGAAACAAATGTCAATATAAACTTGGGGTAGGAAATAGGTAAAATATTCTGATATAAATGCATCTCCCACCATATGCTGGTGAAGTACGTAGCCTGTTCAGCTAATTGCAGAGTCTTTTTTCTTCCTTTAATGAATCTGTATTTTGTGAATGTGTTTTGTACTTGTCTTTTTAATTCTATGAAATGTAAACTGTGTCATTAAAGTAAAAGAAACATTTTGGGAAGCGCTGTCAGAGCTAACTTGCAGTGTAGTTTAATTTAATTGCCTCCCTCTGCACAGCATCTCTGCCATGGTTGGGTGACACAGCACACGGGGATTTCATAAGCAGAGGGAAGCATGCGGCCAGGAACACAAGCTGAAGTTTGAAAAGTACATGAAAAGCAGATTGCTTCATTGTGTCTCCATAAAGTGTCACTTCTCACTGTCTCCTCCCAGCAAATGAGTGAGAACTGACAACTTCAGGGATGTTCATATTAAAAAAAATTCAAATTGCAGGCTTCTGACTGTAAACAAGTCACTTTTACCTCACATAAAATAAAAATGCAACACAACTAATTCAATGTGTAATAAAATATTTGTATATATTTATTTTATTGCAGCTTAATCCAAATATAATATTTAAAGAATAATAAAATAATTTATATACTTTTGTTTTAGTTGAATCAAAGGTGACTTGATGCAAAATTAAAATGCAGCGGCTTTTAAAATTAGGAAGATACTGAATTAATTTAATTTTAAGATTGGTATGAAAATGAGATTTGGTCACTTTTTCCCTTTTTGTTGACTGTATCAAGCCAGATCCCAAGCAGACCTTAATGTTCATGGAAACAACTGCATTTCTAGCAGCTCTGGACATAGTCCTGTACATCAGGAATCAATTAATAAGTCATTAATAAGAGGCATATTTTAGAAGTATAAATTCATTTACTCTCAGTTGTACTTTATTATGAAATATCATGTCACATATACTTTTCCTTAATTCTGAAAATTTGTGTTATACTTCACACTTTTAAGAAGAAAGTATAGAAGAGAAAATGTCATCTGATTTGTACTGTGTTTCATGTTCCTATGCCCTGTGGGAGGAAAGGAAAAGTAATGGAACAGACAAATAAATAAACGTGGTGTTGAAACTGGCATGACAGTTTCTGCTCTTGCACAAAGGAACTGCAATCAATTTATTGTCTTCATTGGTCAAATGCCAGAATAACAGTATAATATTATACAAGAGTAGATTAATTAAAGTGTAATTAGAATGGAATAAATTAAACAATCATAAAAGTTTGTCATGGGAAAAATATGTGTTTAGAATTAATTAGTTTTCAAATAAATGATATTTTAATTGCTCAGAGTTACAGAATCCTTAATTGCAGACATATAATTCTGGCCTAAATAACTTCAGTTGCTGTAACAACTTGCTATATTTCTTCTCTGTCAATTCTTTTTAATAGTTTGTTACCAAACAAGATTATTGCCGGAATGTCTGCAAAAATGTCTGGAAGACGTTTAATTAAGGCCATGCTATCTGAGGACATGATTAGCTCTTGGAACCCAAAGATTTGTGGCTGCTGCTGCACTCTGCAGCACCCCTAATTAAGGAGGATGGGCAGACAGAGCCCCGTGGCTGACAGATTGCTATGCATGGCTGGACTGGAGGCCACTCTGAACAGCCTTTTGATGGTCCTTGGCTCATCAATTTTCTGCTAGATTTCAATGATTTATCACATGTACAAACTTAAATTCATTCTAGGCCTGATGTTATGGTGAAGAGAGACCTATATAAATCCGTTTTTTTTAAACTTATTTGGTGTATATCTAAATGCTGATTCATATTCTTCAAGTTTTCAAAGTGATTAATCATTTGTTGTCTTTTGTGCCCCCAGTTTTATGCAGGGTGTGTTGTAGAGCTAAACTCCTGTGGGCTTTTTTGCTTTCTTCCTCCAAACAAGGCTGGCTGTAGTTACATCATTGCACTTTTCCAAGCAATTAATGGTTTCAGAAAGTAAAACAGATGGGTGTCTTTTCCCTCATCTGCAAATTGAACCTGTTTATGAAACACTAGAATTTCATCTCTTTCAGCTGTATTTCACGCTGCATTTTAGGCTCCCTTATTAAAAGCTAGTGCAATAACATGAGAGGCAGGGGCTCTCACGTTTTCAGATCCCATATTTTTGGCATAAATGTATCCATGACATTTGTCTGTCTCCATAATGTTTACTTCAGTAAGATTTGCAATGCCCAAAATGTTTAATTGTGTTAAAAAAGGTGAAACAGCTGATAG